TTCACATTATAGAGATTACAAGCTTATCATAAACACTATTTATATATATAGTTCTCCTCTTCTTGTCAAAAGTCCACTTAGGCCTATTCAATTACTTTAGAATTTCAGTTAACAAGTTGAACTATCTTGTTTATATTACTAGTGTACAAGTATTCTGTGTGTGATTCACTTACAATTGTGGTGCAAGTTACCATAATTCGTTTGGTCTTCTTTCTTTTGAAGATCCTCTTTTCCTTTTGTCAAAGTGTACCCAGGCTGATTCAATTACTTTAGATCCATGCTTTGATGGAATAAAATTATCCTTCTTATTTTTTTATACTGTTAGTTTCACTCTAACACATTAAACATTAGGCCTATCACATCTACGATACTTAACTTCACACAGATATATTCTTTTTTGCTATTATCTGTCTATTGTTGTCTGTCTGCTGCTTCCTGCTCATCTCGCACTATTTATATCTTTATTACATAGTCGTTTGGGCACTTTCTATATTTTCGACACTAATTAGTTATTAACAAAACCTTCTACAGTCGTCAGCTTTTAACTTTTATCATAACAAAACTTAATAATAATAAAGTATTCACTCACAAATATAAATTAATCACTAATATTTAAACCAAACAGTCTTTTCTATCATGACAGATGTAAAGAGGTTGTTTACACAGTTTGAATATGATATTTAGTTTTTCACTACTAGCAAGCTGTTGATTTGGATATATAATGATAGGTTACAGATATGATTGATTTTTGATAAGATGATTGGAATGTAAAGAAAGAATATTTTATAGGTACCCTAAGTAATATATCATTCAAAAATGTATCGTACATTTATCAAAATGCAACAATATAAATTAAGTTGAATTCTTGTAAAGAAGTCTAATAATTATCATTCATATATGTTCATTATTTGACAAAGATATATTGCATAGTGATCAGGTTGAAGCAAGTAATACACTAATTTAATGCTAACACAATAAATCATTTTCACTTAGGTCACATTAACTAGTAATTGAGACTAATTTAGTTTTAAAACTAATCCATTATTAAATATCAGTGTAGTTGAGACTAATCTTCTTTTAAAACTAATCCATTATTAAATATCAGTGTTTAGCATGCCTGGACTGTGAATCCAGGGATTCTTGATTTGTGTCCCACTGCTTGAGAAACATGCTCTGCTCTGTAGGGCCGTGAATGCATTATAAGATGATGGTCGAATTCAACTATTAAAGAAGAGTAGTTGCAAAAGTCTATCAGTTCAAAATAATGATCAGTTATGCACAGCTAACTCTGATTATCTTTGCCTGAAAAGTATGAAACAAATAATTATACATGGTTAGTGAAATTTATTTCTTATCTTCAGAAGCTCAACTAAAGATAAATGTGATTTAAATCTTACTTACAAAAAAAATGGTTAATGTTAGTTTAGATTTTAAGTATTTTTGTACTTTGAATATTGAGTTTTGGAGTTTCAAGGGAGGACCAGTACATATAAAACTAGAGGGGACTCAGTAGAATGTATACCTCCACCATGCAGCATTGATCATATTTGGCTTTCAAAAATACAAAAATGTGTCCATATGTCTGTCATTATCAACAGACGTGGACCATTTTAGGCAGGACAATTAGAGATAATATTCTACGTATGTCCACCAAGTTTCGTCAAAATCTGATCATTTTTGACTGAGTTGTAGAGTAAAAATTGTATAAAAAATTAGTCACCATGTTAACAGATAGGGATTTTTTTATTTTTGATCATCCAAAAACTAACCACTTCTAAGTTGGGTCATAGTCCAAATATATACCAACTCTTATCCAAATACATTCATCCATTTTCAAGAAATCTTGCTGACACACACACACACACACACACACACAGGTGAAAACGTAACCTCTATCCATCTTTGGTGGTGGAGGTAATTATAAAATTTTAGTCTAGACCTAGCAAACTTCCAGTAAATATATGTTAATCTCTCTAATTACTTATTTTAAATGTGTATTTTCTATACGTATACAGCCCAACACTTTAAAAAGCTTTGCCTTGTATGTTCAATTTGTCCTTGTCCATAAGTCAGTGACAAGTGGTGAATCGAAACTGTGCTTCAAGTTTATATTTAGTAACCTGTCCAGTAGTTTAAAAAGAAAGCTGTAAGGATTATTAAATATGTTAGTCCATTGTAAATACTTTGATATGGAATTTCATTGTACTTAGCCATACTTTTATTTTTGATAAGTCTCTTTGATGCCATAATTATTCTATTCCAGAGCTACTTTTGGATAATATCAGTATTATTTTCTCACATGGTTGTGTTAGTGGTACATGTACTTTTAAATACGTGAACATGTAATGAACACATGACACATAATACATGGTACATAATTATGGAAGATGAAATTGCTTGTATTAGGCTACCAGTACATGATGCTACATGTGTTTATAATGAAAGCAAGTAATCATTTATTATGCTTTACAATGCGTTGTGAAGGAATAAAACAAGTAGTTCATTTTGATCTGCTATGGACTAATGTCAGTTTTGTTTGTAGTAATTTATTTTTCCACTTGAATCATCTGTAAAGTAGACTGCATAAGTAATAGTGTGAGGTCAGTATTTGCAACATTTCTGTTATAAAGATCAGCATCTTAAATAAGTTTGTATAAGTTTTTAAGTGGTACAGTAATGTGGAATTCACAGCATATTTTTTATAATATGGCATATTTATAGATGTAATCAGAAATGACAACCAATCATACATATACTTTATATATCAATAATTGATGTGACTAGTGATGAAAGTGCTTAATAATTACAGATGAAATTAACTAGAAGATATGTTTGTATATCATGTTTTGTATTTTTTAATTTAACCATTTGTTTAAAACGTAGTAGTGTTTGTTGATTTCAAACTCCTTTGTCAGTTTGTACATGTAAGCAGATATAAACAAGCATTTTAGATTTTATATGAAACAAAAAACTGTGATCATACTGTTACTTTTTTGTGTTTATACAGTTGATTAATTTATTTTTTTAATCTCCATAAGCCCAATTATAAAATTCTATTAACCTTCAACATTATTATTAAAACAAATTAACATAAAACTACACATTTATTTCAAGAATTGAATACTGACAGTGGTAATCTATAGGAGATGATATAGAAACTGTTCAGTACCAGTATCAGAATATTTTAAAAACATTAATTTTTAGTAGTAAAGGAAACATAACTTGATTCACATTATATGTGAATTATTTGATCTGTTACAGAAAGAATTAAAGGTTTTTTTTTATCCATGTCTGTTTTCAAATGACTTTTAATTTTTCTAAGTTAAAAATATTCTCACTCTAAAAGCAAGATTTTATGTTTACAACTTTACTTGTTTTGGTCATCAGTAGGCCTATATTTAGGGGTTAATGGTTCAATCATCATTTATCCATGCATAGAAAAAAGCATTTCAAATTCATCATAGTAAATTAGTTTCATGAATTCTGAACTTGTGAAGTGAATGAAACTGAAAATTTAATGATAATTCTAAAGTATTAAATAGCATAGATTCTTTAACTTACATTTAAGGAATTTGATTGTAATTTTTTTATTAAAATTGATTTGAGTTAATGTTTGTTTCTCACAGCTGAAAATGTATGATGTAACTGGAGTGGTAAATAAAGCCAGCCCTTAACAATCATCAAAAACTAACTCAATTTTAGTTTTGTATTAATCACATGCATAGGACATTTTCAGAATACATTTTAGATCAATATTGTTTCAAACATTCTCTATCTTGTTGACAGAAGAAAGATACCAGATATATTGCTTTAATACATTTCACGGTAAAGTTAAATGTTAACTTGTCATTTCTTTCTTTCAGTGTTTGTTTAGGTTTTAGTGCTTTTCATTGGGTTTTTGACTGCTTTAAAAGTAGAACTAATAAGATTCTGTATATATACAATTAGAAAAGGAAGTAATCAAAGAAATACATGATTTAAAATTTCTAAGAATACTTAAAACATTTTGAATAAATACATGCAATTCAACCTATATTATTTCTTTAACAGGCAGAAGAAATAATTGAATTATTGAGAGAAGGCATTCGACAAGGTCGAACAAATCATCTTGTTTCCATGGTAAGATTCTTTATTTTCTGTTCAAATAGCCTAAGCCTCACAGTTATAAATACAACTATTTCACAAAATCAGTAGTGTTTAAACTGTATGTTGTAGATCAGTGTTTCCCAAAGTGTGGTATGCTTACCTCTGGTGGTACATGAGATGATTTTAGGTGGTACAAAGATGACTTTTTTATTTTAATAATTATATATTTATTTTAATGTCTATTAGAAAAAATAAATTTGAACACGGTTTCTACGTTATCTGCCAACAATTAAACATTGGCTATTATTCAGAGGGCATGCGCATCATCTGGTCTGCTCATTGGCTAGCCACAATTCAGAGAGCATGTGCAATGACATACCAAAAAACATATTTGTTAGTTAGTGTTAGATGAAGATTCTCATTTTATGATTGTGTGTCTGTGCTCTGTTTTATTATTTTTTCTTTTGAACTTATCATGGATCAGTGGTTAAAAATGGGATTTTTAAAGCGTAAAGGTGAAGATTGTGATGGAATTGTGAGTACGAAAATGCAAAAAAGTGGTGATAGCTATGAGGACCAAATTAATGAATCACCTTGAAATAAATATATGGTAAGTGATACTGGTTTTCCATTTATTCTAGTGTTATGAAATTTCCTTTTAAAATAAATTTATTTAAATAAAAAAAGTGAGTCGATTTGAAGAACAATATTAAGTAAAATGGAAATAATAGTGCAGGTGGTATGCAGATATGGCAAAAATATCGTGAAGGTGGTATGCGAATGACTGGAGTTTGGGAAGCACTGTTGTAAATTATATCAGATTGAGAAAAATAACTCTTTAAATAACATTTGTTCAGCCAATCATTTCAAAATTTCCTCTAAGGACACTGAAAAATTATATGGTTTGTTCATTCATTGTTGAGTATAGAAACAATGAAAATTTGTTGTAAATTGGTTGTTTTAATGTAGTAAACCAACAATACAGATTCTTTAATAAGTCTTTCTCTATTTTATAGTTAATATAGTTGGAAATGTCTTGCAAATGAAAATAGTCATAGAAGTTGCATAGTTTTTACATTTTACAATTTTCTAAAATAGTATTACAAATCTGGTTTAAATGAAGATTAACTAAAAATAATATTCAGGATACTTTTTTTATAAATCTTTATTTTTTATTTATAAAAAACAAATGTGTTGGCAATGGTACTCAACCCCATCAAACTTTCCAAGATAATTTGTTTTAAGTAGATAAGGAAGTGCAGAGTTGCTCAGGCAGAACAGAATGGAATATTATGCTGTAGCTGTTTTGATAACACATTGAAGTAATGAATACTTGTAGGTGTGTTTATATTATGTGAAACATTGTTTTCCAGCTTTTTATGATGTATATGATGCAGAAGCAATAGAGTGGTTTCACTCATGTAATGATAATTGTAACAACTGGAAGAAAAAAGCTGTTTGGAAATGTCTATCTGTACTTTGTTTTTCACCTAGGTTTTTGAATTGATATCTAGATCAATATTTTAATCCAATTACTACATTTAGAGTATTCATGATGTTAGAAAAACATGTAGGTTCAATAAGTCTTGATAGAAGTGAATAAAACATCCTAAATCAGAGCAATACTAAACTTTCAAATAGAATTCCTCTTATTATTACCTGTCAGTTTAAACTCAGAAATGTTTCACGAATTTTTTAAAATAATTTTCATCTACAACTAAATGATTGCCTTAAACAGATATTTCCTGAAGCTCCCGTTGTCTCCTTTCGAAAAAGCAGAACTCTAAAAGATATCCTTGTTCACACAAAAGTGAATTACACCCCACCCAAAAATGTTTGTCGTCCATGCAATAAAGCCTGTTGTCAAACCATCAAGTTCATAAAAACCACTGACTCATTTTCTGACAAGCACAATCAAAGAAACTTTAAAATATTTAAAGAAATCACTTATGAAACAACAAACTCCATTTACCTTATACAGTGAAAAAAATGCAATTACCAATATGTGGAACATACACAAACAACTCTTAGAGAATGTTTCAATAACCATAAATCTTTTATTAACACCAAAAAAGATCTCCCTGTTGCTTAACACTTTAATCAACCCAATCATTCCATTAACGATGTTACTCTCATTGGCATTGAAACAGGATTCAAAACTAAGATAGATAGAGAAATAAAAGAAGCTTATTGGATTGCTAATCTAAACACTGTTCAACCTTTCGGAATTAATCTAGATCCTGGAATCGGTGATCTCTGTTCATTGGTTTCATCTCTGTCAGAAAAATAATTTTTATTCTTTGCTTATTTTTTTCATGTAATGTAAACACTGAATTTCCTAAAACTTACTATTTATTTAAGATAATATTTCATACCTGTTTTTATAAATTGATTAGCATAACATATCATTTTCAATCAGTCTCCAGGTGTCACCTTTATTTTACTTAAACACTTAAGTATAGTTTTAAATATACATATATTTATCCATTTCTAAAGTAAAATATCTCTAACGTATTTTCACATACACTATCGCCATCAGCTACACTGTACTGGAAATGAGATTCTTGCAACAGTACATAGAGAAATAGACTAAATATTTCCTGGAAAACCAGATGACCTTCATGTTGTCACTAAAATCCCTTTATATGTATCACTCATTAGATTACACCACCATTCGCAGTTTGCCCCTGAAGAAGAAAGGTCCACCTTTCGAAACTCTCGGTTATAGGGTTTTTCTACATTTTGAGTATTATGTAAAAGTTTTTATTCTCCTTTTTTTTTAGACTAATTGATTTTTTTTTCATGTTTGTATAAGTGAGGATTATATAGCAAAACACAAGAAATTCATAACCTTTATTATAGTACATGTAATTCACTGACTTCTTAATTCTAGTACCTGTTAATATTCTATACTTGCTTTTTGAAACACAGTATAAACCAATTTCATTTAATTAAAAAAATGACAAAAATATGATTGATGCCTACCAATGCTAATTTTGCAAAACTAAATGGAAAGGAAAAACTGAAAGTAAAGATCTGAATGTAGTATTCAGATGCATTGAGCAAATGATTTGATGTCCAAGTTCATTAGATGTGTTTGTAGTTACTGTAATACATGATAATATGTGTAATAAATGAATTAATTAGACATTTGCAAGTACAATAACAAATGGTAATAAATTAACGAGGAACAAACTGAAAATTTAGGATAAGAGCATTAGTTACTGTTCTATTTGAATCTGAGCTTGGGTACAAAATTCTTAACTCAAGTTTGCATTGGAATTGCTCATTATATATGATATTGTATATTTACAGTTATGAAATAATTAGTCTTGTGATTGCAAGAATGAATTTTTTTGTTCCAGGTGATAATCGTAGTAATATATATTGAATAGTTTTACTTTCTTCCTAAAAATTAACTAAACATACATATGTGCACAAAACATTTGAATGTGAAATTCAAAGACAGCCTGTTATAGTACTCCATATATATGAGCATTAAATACCACAAGGTAAGAACATTTTTTTCATCCACTTATTTTAATTATGTTTAGTGTACAGTACCACTGTACTCTGTTTTGCTCATTCAAGCTAAAACTCCTAAGTGACAAACTATTAAATGTTGATTCTCATTTTAAACTAGGTTATTCTTCTTCTTGTAGGAAAATGTTCCCAAACAATTTGCTGATCTTCAAACATCTGTTGAAGAGAGCCCATTTTTTCAGCCATTTTTATCCATTCCAAAAGTAATTTCTTCGTCAGAAAAGTAAGCAAAATACTCTTCAGTTTGAACTCTGAAACATTAATGCTGTAAAATTTGCACCTAAATATATCAACATTTTTGTGTGTTAGGTCTTTGTAAATGTATATTAATTTTTTTTTCTATACTTAAATAACAAAATGTCTATATGTTTAATTTATCAAATATAAACAGTTAAGATTTGAATTTGAACAGTGGGCTTCACACTAGCATGTGTTAGAATAATTAGGTTTTGTTACTTGGCATTAAATGTATTTTGTCATCTCTGTGTATTTTTCAAACATTACTTCATATAATAATATCTTTCTCCTGTGTTTTTTATTAGTAAAAGAGACAAATAAGGCTGGTAGTTTTGTATCAGTTTAAAATACTGAAGGCTCTTATATTCAAACCCTATACACAGCCTTTTTTTCTTTATTCAGTATGTTAATCAAGAACCTTTTCTATGGTGCGAAGTAGATTAGTTCATCAGTGCAATGTGATTATTTACTTTTATGTTTTAAGCTAAAAAAACAAGAGAGAAATTTTCAGCTTTCTTTTTTTTTCTTTATCATATTAATCAGAAACTTCTTTGGTGGGTAGTAAAGTGGTTCACAAATGCAGTGTGATTACATTTATTTTTTAAGCTAACAAACAAGGAGAAATTTTCAGTTAACATGCCTAACTATGCGCTAATTTTGTCTGTATTTTGTCATCTACTTAAAGCCTTAAGTGACAAAGCACTTTAACTGATTTTAGGTCATGTAAGTCCATGTAGAGAAAGATAGAAATATTAAAGTGTCAAAGGGTTGTTTCAACCTTGTATCTGTATAAATGCTTCTGTTTCTCTTACAAGGCAGTCCAGCATTATTTCATATAAGACTATACATGTAATTAAGTAAGATCTGAATTCTCTACCACTGTACTGTAATTAATAAGCCTATAATTTTTAATTTCAGTTTAGGTTAGGTCAGAATTATGTCATCGTCATTGTGTCTGATGGTAAGTGGCATTACAAACAGAGCATTGCATCAGATCTCTTTCTTTGATACTCTGCATAATCTTCACCATAGTAATTTTTAATCAGCCCTTGTTTGTATCCAATCCTTAGTCCTCTGTCTTCTTTGGGACTTTTTTTTTGTATAATTATGATTATCCTTTTCAGCATGTTATCTTTTTTCCTAAAGATGTTCCCGTAATATCTAATCTCGTGCCAATCTATAGCTCTGCACTGCCTGTAGAAAATTTTCTAAATTTGCCTGTACCACAATATTGTATTCATTTATCGAAAATTAGGTAGTTTAGTTATTCTCTTTTCAACTAACTCTATATTAACAGTGGGAGGGGGTGTTATGGACAAGTTGGACATGAAAGGCCTATGCTTAATACATTAAACTATTTACAAGTGATGCTTGGAGACGACTTGAATGGGTAATGAAGAAGAACTTTAATATAAGTTTAACATAACAGCAAATGTACATTGTTTTGCCAGGGTTTTGTCATCATCATTTACAAGTGTATTTTTCACAGGTTATTGGTGTAAAATACTTAAGAGTATACATCTTAGAGGTTGTTAGCTATCTATCTATCTTCACTATATTTGCAAGATAGTGAAAAATATTATTAAGAAATACATTTACCTTATGTTTTTTAATTTCTTAGATTAGTTTTTGCCTTTATCGTATTTGAAATTATGCTTCAGGGCTAGATCCAAGCCAGTTTTGACACCACAGAAATGGAATTGACTCTTTGCAAAAATATAAAGTTCAGAAGTTTCACAAAATTAGTCTAATTTTCACAAAAATATTGTTTTTGTTAAACTTTACAGTTATTAATTAGATAAAAAATGGAATATATTGAAAAATAGTAAATAGATAGGAAGATATATTATAAAGTTATACGTAGGTAAAAAGTCAACTGATATAAATCTTTTTTTTCACAAATTGCTTTGAAATAAGGCTATATTGCACTTTTTTTTACTAACAAAACATAATTATTGAATTTTTTCTGTACAAAAGATAACTAGTGCAAAAAATACCTTTCATATTTTGTCATTTCTTATATGTGTATCCAACTTTATTAGTTCCAATGTTAACTTTGTGAAGAGCTTTTTATATTAACCAGTAGAGCAGTAATGGTCAATAGTTTATCAGAACAGTTTATAATTGTATAAAAGTGTCATCTGGTTAACCTGTTACTTTGTTTTATCCTAAGCAGTAAATTAGTTGATATTCAAAACTAAATTGTTATAATTATGTAGCTGAAATAGTCTAGTAGTCTTGTGGAATTGTTTGTAATTTGACCATTTAGATGAATCATTGAATATTTGATTTAGATTTTGGGGGCTAATGGTTGTGGAGGTTTCAAATAAAATTCACCTTTTAACTTTTGTTAAAATAGAGATTTATATAACTTTGCAATGTTATTGTACAAAATGATCAGAACAGTAAACTGTGGTCGTTGGTGAAATAGTTTGAGTGGCAGGTGTAGAAAGGTCTTGTTAAATGTGTTATGTTGTATTACTATATTTACAGAGAGGCCCTAAAGTCTGAAGCCCACATGGTTATAAAGTCACAACTGTTACCAGCATTTCAGGCACTTGGCTCTTTTATAGAAAGTGTAAGTTTTATTGATGCTTAGCATGTGTGTGTATTTTTTCACATGTATGTTCACTTAAGACTTTTGAAAACATATTTAGTGAAATAATAATGGAACAGTATACTACTGAGTTAATTCCACTTTATAAGAACAATATTCTTTCAAACATTTCATTGGAAGTACTTACTCCATTGCTGATTGTACTCTGTGCTCATTCTGGTGGTCATGATTACATACAGTTGCAAGAACTAATAATTTCCATTGCAACAAGTTTTTGTCAAAGACAGGAGTTAGCCTTAGACCATACATCTTGATAAACTTTCCATAAGTCCTCCACCATACAAGGACATCATTCTTCAAGACCACACTTAAATAGACCAAACCAGGACACAAAAGTCTATTAGAACTGCATTGAAGGATTTGACACGATCGTGTATGACCAAATGAGATTACTATGGTTCCCGCTTTTTTTTTGCCATTTTTCAAATGAGACAGCTATTGATCTTGAGGTGTGGCAAGAAGCCTGTGAATGTTCGGTTTGTGAGCCATTGTCAAATTAAAATCCTTCTTTATTATTTTGTAAATCTCTACACTATGGCATCATGTGTTTATTCCTTATGTGGAATTTTTTTCATTAACTTTCTTATAAGCTGTGGTTTAGCTACATAGTTTCAAAGCCACTAAACATGTTGTTTTACGATTTCATGGTAGAATCCTTTGTAATGTGATATCATACTCACTCATATTTTAATAACATTCAAAAAGTTTGTTTAGCAACATTTTTTTTATTTGCCTACTGCTCTCTGTTTCATGATTAATTTTGAAATACTTTCATACAGCACATACTTTACTTTCTTATTGGTGGATTTTATTCATCAGAATTTCTGGAAATAAATAATTATATTTTTTTTTGTGAGGTATCTGGCTTGGAAATTCTTAACAGGCTGTAATCATGTGAACATACCTTTATTCATTGTAGGAATATATGGCTGCCTTGCGCCCCAATATTTCTGTCTCAAGCCTTCCAGATGGAGAAAAATTCTATCAAGAGTGCCTTAAATTCCATATTTCTTGTGATATGAGTCCTGAAGAAGTACATAAGATAGGGCTTCAAGAGGTGGAACGAATCTCTAAGGATTTGGATGAGGTAAAAAAGCAAGTATATGTGTGCATATAGTACTAGTTAGGTAACTTTAGAAACTACTTTATTATTGGTTTATAAATGTGTAATGATTTCCCATTATTTTTTGCTTTATCGTGTGGATTTAGTTTGAAAAATCTGTAAATAAATTATTATTTTTTTTTAGTATTATTATTATTACTTATTCCATTTGTAAAGTTTACCCTCTTCAGTCTCATGGTGTATCAACTAGAAACTAATCCATTGTATTCACAATAATTATCTGTCACTACAAGTACATCTGTAAACATTTTGTAGTTCCAGTATGAATATTTAAGGATGTAAGAAAGATATAAAACTAGTACTTGTGAACTTGGCATAAACTATTCATATTTTAATGTGTAAATATAAATTGTACTTATATGAAGAATGAAATGTAAAAAAATTTCGATACGGGATATTACTTCTTCACAGTTATAGCTATTCTTGTTCAGTGCTGCTCTCTATATATAAAAAGTGCTTTGCATGCCACAAGCCTTGAGTTTCCATGTACTCTATGATCAATGTGGTTGCATGTAATTCATCATGTGAAACCCTCCTGATGCATGCAACTCCCTCTATTCGAACTATCACACATTCTCATTTGGCAGTGCTTGTGTCAAGACGTTTTTCATTGTGCTCTTCAATCGATTTTTTAAATTTAATGAACTTTTTGAAAATTTGTTCAGTGTTGATTGAACTTTTGTAATTTATTCTGAAGTGGAATTGTTATTCTCCTTTTTCAAACATTCACAAATGTAAGGATACCCTGCTTTTTTTTCCAAGTTTTTTATTTCTTTATTCTAACAATGTTGTGTTTTTTATCTTTAACAATAAATTCTGAAATCCAAGTTAACACTTTGGAGGTAATACCATCTACCAGCACACTTACACATGCTGCAGGTGGGGTGGATGGAATTCAACTGTGGAATTATTGGCTGTCATTTGATGTTATATGAATCAAATTTCTTCTCTTAATATACCCCCCAGTGGCACAGCAGTATGTCTGCAGACTTATACTGCTAGAAACCAGGTTTCGATACCCGTGATGGGCAGAGCACAGGTAGCCCTTTGTGTAACAATAACAAGCAACTTCTCCTGATATTGCCCAGTTTCCTCCTGAATGTGTCGAACACATTCAGGATGACGAGGAATTTGACAGTCTTTTTCCTCCACTTGATTTTGCCATGTCTTTCTATGCCCCTACTGCAGAATCACCTAGGCCTAATAGTGTATTTTTTGGACATGATTTCTCAGACGTGTTCTGTTCTATCACTTTCCCAGATTACTTATCCTCTCCCTTTCTTGTTACATGATACCCCCTCCTTTCAGTATTTTGTGTTTCCACCTTCCCCAGATATTACGGTTTATGCAGAGCATTTTGTGTCTCAGATGAGTGAGAGTGCTAGCATGCCTAATCCTCCACTGGTTTTGGATCAGTTTGCTTTAGCCTACCATCAGGCTTAATGTCCAGATCTTGATTCTCAACAGTTAGAATCATTTTTGCCCTTGTTGGAGGGGTGAACCCTGGTCATCCTGTTCGTTTATCCCATGCCCAGTTTTCTCTCCTTTGTCTTACCCTATCAACTCCTATGGTACTTGTCCACCATCCACCTCCTTTCTGAGGCACTTCACTGAGGTCCTGAAGGTTTTTCGAGAGATACCGTCTCCCTGATTACTTCCACATTGGCACATTTGTCTTCCTCGGCCCTTTCCTTACACACATAGTTTCTCTGTTGTTGGGATCTTCTGGGGAGAGATGCTGTATTGTTCCAAGTTCGTTTACCACCTACGTACCTTCAGTACTTACGTATGGCCCCCTTTCTCCAATGGTCTGTTTTCAGGGACATTCCTGACACTTTAGAATCCTGTGTGGAATCTGCGAGACAGCAAACACTCCACTCATCTTTGGTTGATTGCTTGTCTGATTCTGAGCCTAAACAATCCCTTATTACTGTTTCCCATTCAGCTTTTTCCCAGCCTTTACCAGTTCATACCTGTAGGGGTTTTTCCACTCATCATCTTATTCAACAAAGATGGATACGTTGCCAACAGTGCTAGTGACTACCCTATGGGTTCCGGTCCAGTGGGGGCTTGATTGACTGATTTTGTTTACCTATGGTATGATTTCACCACAGATTTTTGGATTGTTTCAGTATTATCCGAGGGACTTTTTATCCACTTCCTTTTCTCTTCTCTGTTATCTCGGGTACCCATATCTTTTCAGTGTCGATAATTGATAGTATTGCCTGAACTAACTGCTTTTGGTCCCGTCTGACACATGTACTGATTGGTTGAATTGAGAGAAAGAAGGAAAACAAAATGGCACAAAATTAGTAATGTGTTGTGAACTTCATTTCTGAAAAAACATGAAGTGCTGAATCCACCATTAAAATCCTAGAAACAAGAACGTGAAAATAGTTCCAGACTTCCAAGAGTCCAGAACTGTTTTAGATTCGAGTTATATTTAGCACAGCTTTATGCACAAATAAAATGGGAGAAGATATTAGGCACCTCAATTAAATATTTAGTCACCATTTTGATCTGGTGCCCAGGGTTTGTTGATGTCTGATGTAGCCTATGGGTTGTTGGCAAGCAATATTACCAGTTACAGTTAAGGAAAACTCGTATAAAGAAAATATGCAGTAATTTGTAGATAACAAAAAGATTTGGAAAAAGTAAGATTTTCTTATCTATGAACTTTTGTAGAAATATTTAAACTTGTGCTAGTTAGTAACTGGATACCATCAAATTTACCTAGTAATCTAAATGTTAATGCACTGGGTATCTGAGTAACATAATAAGAAAATGGAAAGTTGGTCAAGCAACAAACAAAATGCTAGAACAGAAAAGAATTGGGACTAGAGATAATGTTGAATATGTGCAGCTTAACAGAATTGGCTTATTAGTTTTTGGAGATATTAATTATTATGGAGATTATGTATCACTAGTGTAGTCAAGTATGGGCGATGTGCATTTTCCATTGTATCTAAATGCAAGGGCCATAGAAGAATAAAAAACTTTTATAAAATGTTTTACTTAGTAGAAATTTGTATTTAATGTAATATGCAACATTATGTAAGAACAAAATAAAAAATTTGATGCTTGAGTGGTGTAATACTGTAATGCATTATCACTTTCAGTAATTAACGTTATACATTGCGATTACATTTGTCATGAATGTTTTATCAGCATGTATGAAGTGTTCTGTATGCATAACTAGAATTTACAAATTAGCTATACGGAAGTATGATCTGGCTGTCTTGTGAATGAACAATTCATTCTTAAACCTGAATATATTTTCAGTAACATTACTGAAAGATAAATATTTATATATAGTAACTTTAATACAAAGATTTCAATACGTTATATGCACATAAACTTGACACTCATAGTTTCAAGGCTTGTGCAAAAATATTGCAATATACTCTCAATGATTATTTTAACCTGCACTTGTTTTATAGACATAGGAAATATGAGTTTACTGCAGTGTATGGTTAGCAACTGATGTTTTATAGACATAGAAAATATGAGTTTACTGCAGTGTATGGTTAGCAACTGATGTTTTATAGACATAGAAAATATGAGTTTACTGCAGTGTATGGTTAGCAACTGATGTTTTATAGACATAGGAAATATGAGTTTACTGCAGTGTATGGTTAGCAACTGAAAGGTTTGTGGAGGTATGCACATCAGAAAATATTGCTATAATAAATATTTGACATATGAGAAGCACATTTTTTAAAGAATGTTCCATTTTACAACAGTAGACATGTTCTTTTCACGTATTAAAAGTCTGAACATAATAATTGCAAAGGTTATAATCTGTAGTTTTGTTTGTGCTGCAATAATTTCTGTGATTTACTTAAAATTAATGTAATTGGTATCCATTATCATAAAGGTATCTATAGAATGCTTTGTTGTGTAAGATTGGATAAAATATCAATAATTTGAGAATGGTGTGATTGATCACATTGAAACTTTGCAAGATTATGTTAAAGGAAACTCTGACTTTTAACGTACATAGTTTTTTTGTCTTTATTAAACAATATGTGAATAAGGTTTTAGAATTTCACATATTATTAAAGTTTAATAATACATTTCAAGAACTGATCAAATAGTCATGGCATAACATTTTCATCATGGAAAGGTCTGACAAAGTCATGGAATCTCATTCAACCCAGATAGGTATGTATTTTGGAGGTTCTAGAGGTTATGAAAATGCAATATGCAAACTGTATGAAAGGTAAAACTATTTTTCACTTTTCACATGAACATCATCTTGTATTCTGACTTGCGAGAGTCCGAGTCAGATTAAGATCATCAGTTCACACACACATATCTTGAGTAAAAATACGTTTGTAATACATCTGATTTTTTTTGTACATAACAATCTTGTACATTTTACTGAAAGCTTGCCATGTTTTGTTTAGATTCATATAGTTAATTTGGAATTATAGTCAACATTTCTTTTTCTCCAATACAGGGTTGAACCAACCCCATGTGGATTTGGTGAATTTTATGGTGAAAATTAATCTAATGATTAAATTACTGATGATAATTTTGTGTTTTAAGGTAGGTTTTGTGGAAAAGTGGTAGTTAAAATGAAATATTAAAAATGAAAGAAAGTTTTTACAGTTTAACTAGTTGGGCTGATTTTTTTCAGGTTGTTGAGACACTTGCATCAAATGTCACTACATCTGAATTCTTGAGAAAAATAAGAACTGATCCACAGTTTTTCTACAAGACATCGGTAAATTTTCCTCTTTCAATATGTATAAATCAAAGTGTTTTGTTTCTTAGCTTAAAAGTTTTTTATTTGTCTTAATAAAGATATCATTCACATTTATTGAACAGTGCATGACTAGTGTCATGTTTTTGAGAAGAGAGAAAATTTATAAGTGATGTTATAGACTATTCAGTCTTTTCTAACCAGGCTTTTGTATGTTGCGAGACAAATTGATGCATGGTTTAGTAAAATATTGTTCATGTTGGACATTATGAGATGCTACCCAATAGTTTCAAGCATCTTTCTGGGGTCAGAAGATTTTATTTAACTAATCGAATATCTGGATTTTAGTTAATAGTGAGATTAAACATGAACCATGTAAAAAAGAAAAATTACAATAACTGATAATATGGTAGTTGAGTTGTAATTTGTACATTTAACTTGTACAGTACAAATGTCTGTTTTGCCAATAAGAAAAAAAAACTGTAAAAAAAATATCTGTAAACGAGGTGCTTGTTTTTCTGTTAAGAAGGGCAAAAATTGAGAGAATTTAATAATGAGAAATTTTTGATGTTTTAAATTTTTTTTCAGTCAGTCAAACAGGAGAAAACCTTTTTCTTTGCTTGTACAGCCTTCTTGGTAGCTTTGTGAAAAAAAGCGAGACAAACTATTAAAAATTTTATTAAACCCATTATTTATCCTAAATCATCTGTCTGTTCCTTCTTTAGGGTAAATCACAGGAATAAATTCTGATTTTCTACATTTTTTCATGCCACATATACTGTAGTGTTACTGTTCTTACATTTGTTTTTTTGAAGAGAAAATATGCAAAATAAACAAATAAAGCTAGATCCTTTGTTATGTTGTTATAAGTCTGTTCACATTCATCAATCATAAGCAATGTCTCTCATATAGAAAAATTAGTTCCTGAAATGTGGTTGGTAACATATAAATCAAAAATTTCCATTGATTATAAATGGTCTTTTTTTTACCTTTTTTATTGTATTTAGATACTTACATGGTGATTATGTACAGTATCAAAATTAATTATGTAAATGCACAGTTGATACCTATACAAAAGTAAAGTGAATGAATTGTATGATGCATTAATATTTTTTATTTATTTCAAACAGGGCATTACACCTTGTTTTATGTTGTCTTAAGCTTATCACTGTATGATTGTGAAACATTGTTCTAAATGTCCTGTATTGCTCTTCACAATTCAACCAAGTTGTTTGGTTGCCATTTCAACTTGTCAGTTTGCATATAAGTTCAAAAAGACTTAATAAAATTCATATCAGGACTTTGCACAGGCCAAGCCATGGTTGTGTGTATGTCCCTTCATCCTTTTTTTTATCCCTTCAGGTGTTGTTTCATCATATTTGCTACTTGCTTTCAGTGTCTTGCTGGAAGATGAATCCTTGACCTTCAAGACTTGTTCCTGATTGAATGACATTGTGGATAAGAATTTACTTATGCATTTCAACTGCCAAGGTGCTGTTAGTTTTTTACAGACTTCCAACAGCATTGGCTGAGATGCCAACCATGCTTGTACTGGTCCCCCAGCTTACTTTACTGTAGATGCTGTTTATTAGTCATTGGTAACATTGTATTCTTTTCCATTGAAGAAATTATCATTGACTATTGACAAATAATTGAATTTGCACTCACCTGTAAAGAGCACTTTTCTCCAACTTTACTCATCCAGCTCTTTGAAGTCTGATGCTTATTTCAGCCTTTTAGTTTGGTTATCTCTCGTAAGCGCTGTTTTTTGTATAGTTACACATGTATTTATTGCTTGTAGCTTCTTGTTTTGGAGGTAACATTCACTTGCATATATAGAGTACTTAATATGTCATTCTTAACATTTTGGGTTTTCTACCTTAACAGCTTCTAATGTAAACTGTTCTAGTGTCACATATTAATTTAAGAGTTTCCATACAATTCTTAGGGAAACATAAAATTGTTCCTTAATATGTCACATTGAATATCTTTCACCATCCAAAATTGGTTTATACTTGTTGTCACATGTCAATACTATCCTGAGAGCCATGAGTGCGTGCACCAAACTACTACTGGGAATAGTATAACTGCCTGTACTTTTATATGCATTATTATTGTGTGGCACTGTCAGATTGGTTGAATAACACCCACTTACAGTTATATGTAACTTTATTCTGTGCAGTTTATTTTCTTACAGTAAAAAGGGAGCATTTCCATAATATTTGAATTTTTTTGCCCATTTTATTCACTGTTTCCATAATTGTTTATAATACTGTTTTTATCTGTGAATGTAATATACCATGTTGATTATTACCCCCATTTTCTTGTTATTAAATAATAAAGTTGCTTTTATTTATGTGAAATGAATAGTTCAATTTTTAATTTTTTTTAAAGCTATGAATTTATGATCTCTTTAATAATACAAAAAAAAATACTGTAGTAAAAGTACAAAGTAAAAATTTAGGCCTTGAAATTGTTCTGGCTTAAGCAGGTTTACACTTGTATTTATCATGCAAAACATAAACATTTTTAAAGATTTTCATATTGAAAATATTTTTTTGTATTTGACGAGCCTTCATATTGAATTATGTTTGAAAATTCATACAAGCATGAACTCACATTTTATTCCAATTTTCTTGCTTTTGTTAGTGAAATGAGTAATAAATTACATATGTTTTTTGATGTAAGATTCATGGACAACTACTCTTATACAAAAACCTTTAAAAAATAAAAACTAATTGGGGAATAAATTGGAGTTGTAAGAATTCACAAATTACTTGATTTTAGGATTTGTATTGTTGAAGCAACACAGATGGATTAACTATATTTAATGTGGAAGTACACAACTTTGATATGTACATGTAATAGTGCAACAATATTTTTAACTGTGAATGTAACCAAATACTGAAATAAAACAAAGTAGAAATAAATAATTGAGAGGGAGCATAAAACATAGTATCTGATGTATGTGTGTGCTTATCTGTGTGTGTGTGTGTGTGTGTCTCTCTCTCTCTATA